CAATTTGCCTTTATGTCCCCTATGACTATGGTTCTGAGCACCCTGGTCCAGTAACTTATTCCCTCAAATGCAAGTCACACTGCTGTTGAGTCTGATCCGACTCATAGTGACCCCTCCTTTAGTTTCCAAGGTGGTGTCATTATAGAAGTAGATGGCCCAACCTTCCTTCCAAGGAGTGGCTGGTGGTTTTGAACCACCAGCCTTCCGGTTAGCAGTCAAATGCCTTAGGCACTAGCCACCAGAGCTCCTCCTATTCCCTCAAAGTGTTTGGTTATGGCTAAGAAGTTTCATAAATTTGCCTCCTGTTTGCTCCAGTATATACATGGACAATTTAACAGCATATACAGATACTTAGGTAGAAATAACATCTGCCAAACTTATATATGCTGAATTGCTTTTTGGTATTGGGCCCCTAAAATCTCTACTGTTCTATTCTGTAGGTATATATTAAATAAATTATTAGAGAAAGTGGCTACCCCATCAATGAGATAAATAAGTGGTCTCCAGGCAATAAACTATCTGGTCTTGTGCTTGGCAGCAAGGTTTTCTATCTAGGTCTGTTTAATTAATGTTGCTACCACTTAGTTTTCTTTTTCCTTGTCATTTGTTCCTTTGCTGCAAAGTTCCTAGCAATAATTTTACATATTTTTCTTTCCCACTTCCTGGACTTGGATAGACAGAGCTTCTGAATGGCATGTGAAAGGGAAGCCATCCTAAGGAAGGGCACTAGAGTCTGGAAACTTGAACTTTTAGTGAAAGAAATTGAATGGGACTAATTTTAGAAAGGGCTCTGGTAGCATAGTGCCTAAGGCACTTGACTGCTAACCAGAAGGCTGGCGGTTCAAACCCACCAGCCACTCCTCGGAAGAAAGATGGGGCAATCTACTTCCGTAGTGATACTGCCTCGGAAACCCAAGGAAGGGTCACTATGAGTAGGGCCCTACTCAACAGCACATACCAACAAAACAACAATTTTAGAAAAGTTGTTCTTGGAATAAATGGAGAGATACATTATTCTAATCATACGTTATTCCCCTTTTTATATTAATTTGTGTTGCCTCAGTAATTTATTTTTCTTTCAGGAAACACATACACCATCCATTGATATTTGAACCCAGAGAATGTGTGACCATTTTATAGATTCCAGCTCTCCTGTTTTATGGAGCTATAGAACCATACAATTTTGGGGAAAGTGACTAAATGGTAAAAGGAAACAAAACCATTAGTGCTGTTAAGATCATGTTAAACAAGAACTCACATACCTACAAGGGAAATACATTAGTATAAATTCTTTGGGAAATCATTTAACATTATGCACCAAGAGGTTTAAAATATATGTGTGTCTTTTGAACTGTGCATTCTACTGAGAAATTATTGTAAAGAAATAATTATAAATACAGGATGAGCTTTATGCTCAATGGTGTTTATCATATTTATAATTGAAAACAATGTGAATGTCTATCTATGAGGAAGTGGTCAAGAAATCTCCAATTAACCAACAGGTGTGTAGCCACTGAGAATGTTTACTATGAAGATGAAATAACATGGAAGATGTTTTGATAAAATGTATGATTCTACTGTATGCTTGGAAGAATATTAAGTATATTACAGTGTAGACAGTGATTATGTTTGAATGATGAAACTATACATGGTTTTCATTTTCTTTTATAGTAGTTTCAACGTTTTCTTTATGGAGTAAAAGTATTCCTTTCTTTATAGCTTTAAACAGCCAAAGTGGAAGTTAATCTACAAGCACTAGGCTAAGACTTTGGCAAAGGAACATTGTGCAGCATGGATTCTCTAGCAGAAGGATTTTTTGTGAGGTAAGGGATGGGCTGACGAAAACCAAGTACATTTGTTGCCTTCCAAAGACGTGACATTTGTCTTTTCCAAATAATCTTGGGAAGCTAGTGAGAATGACTTAGATTTATGCTTTGGGATAATTTAGCAACTTTTATTAGCAAGGCATGGGTACTGGGTAAAATCTAATTCTAGAGAAGTTCTCTAAGAAAAATAAATATAGAAATATAAATAAATTACTTTACTCAGGGCATTCTTACCAAAATAATATATTTATCATTAACAAACACATATAGATGTTCTATGTTCCAGGCAAAGGTTAACTCATATAAACCTCACAATAGTTCTGTGAGGTAGATGCTATTACATCACCATTTTATGGAAGTAGCCTAAGCATAACACAGAAGAACTTAGAATGGTTAAATTGCACCCAAATAGCATTCTGTCCCCTATCCCATTTAATAGCCTGCCTATCACTCCTGTATAATAGCAGTTTAGGATTGGAGATCTCCTTCTAACTTTGAATTGTCCTATATAATAAGCATCATGATCTATTAATTTATTTCATAAACATTTACTAACTTTGGTGTTTGTACAATAAAGATTAAGTTGAATCTTACGTATTTAGAGATAGAGGTGTTAGAGTGAGGAAGATATATAAACAGTAATTACATCCTTAAGTAGAATGCATACATGTTATGTTAGAGTGCAGCTCTGGTGGTGTAATGGTTAAGGAATTTAACTGCTAACCAAAAGGTCAGTGGTTAGAACCCACTAGCTGCTCTGTGAGAGAGATGGGGTAGTCTGTTTCCATAAATATTTACAGACTTGGAAACCCTTATGGGGCGGGTCTACTCTGTCCTAAAGGGTCACTATGAGTCAGAATTGACTCAGTAGTAGTAGGCTTGGTTTTGGTTCGGTGGCTATGTATAGGAACAAACAGTAATTCTTGACTAGGAATTGAGTTAGGTTCCATAAAGTGATATTTGAATTGAACTCTGAAGGATGAGAATCATTTTGATGGATATATATATATATATATATATCTATGTTTGTTATTTATATTTCAGAATATATTGCCACAGCAAAACTTTAGGCCTTCTGCAACAGAACAAAGTATGCAGGTGGGAAACACAGCAGGATAATAACAGAAAAGTATAGGTGTATAACTTTGAATAAATTGTGTAACATCTCTGGACATCTGTTTACCCATATTTGAAGTAAAGTGACTGCCATATATTATTACTGATGTGCCTTCCTGTTCTAATATACTAAATGCATGGTTGATGATGCATGGCAGTCTGTATTAAAATAAAGTAATGAATGAATAAGATGAATGGGGAGAAGAGGAGTAGACAGTAGAAGCTGAAGAAACTGATAAGTGGAAGGCTTGGAGGTCTAAGAGGAGAGCCATCAAAAGCTAGGTGTGCCGAGTTTTGTAAGGCGGGTTGGAGGGTATGATGGACAATGTTAAATGATGCAGAAATCTAGGCAGAATAGAGAGCTATGAAAAGGCACTAGAGTATCAATGAGGATTTCGTTAGTAACCTTTAATGCAGCATTTTATGTTGGCAAGCAGGTGAAGATAAATTGAGGTTACACATCAAAATTTGTTGTGGAGCCAATAGAAAATATAACAACTCACATCCCACACTTTTAATTCAGTAGCTTCGGGGATTGAGAACCACTGAGTGAATGATCATGAAGGGAAGTCAGCAAGTAGAGAGCATTTTGCTGTCATTCGAAAACCTTAAGAGGCTTCAGAATACTGTTGCAATATTTTTCATATCTTGATAGCACACGCCCTGATTTCTTTTTGGAGTAGAACCTAGAAGTAGAGGAAAATACAGATTTTCTTTACACTGATAGTGTAGAGTACTAAGAATCATATTGCAAAATATTGTGTGTGTATGTGTAAATTATCTTTTATTGAGGCTTTCACAAGGAGTCTAAAAATGGGAATAATACTGTACTGTTGATCTGTCTCAGTTTTCCCTGACAAAATCAATTAGCTCATAACCAAAAAAAAAAAAACCACACCAAACACACTGCTATAGAGTAAATTCCGATTCATTGTGACCCTCATTGGGTTTCTCAGGCAGTAAATCTTTATGAAAGTAGATTGCCCAGTCTTCCTTCTGTGGAGAGAGAGGCTTAGTTTGAACTGCCAGCCTTCTGGTTAGCAGTCAAATGCTTTATGCACTGTGCCACCAGAGCTCCTTGGTTAGCTCATAGTGATTCCTCCTTGGTTTTCCTAGGCGATATCTCTACGGAAGTAGATTGCACAGTCTTCCTTCCAAGGAGTGGCTGGTGGATTTGAACTGCCATCCTTCTGGTTAGCAGTCAAATGTCTTAGGCACTATGCCATCAGAGCTCCTTAGTCAACTTATAGTAGATGATAAATGATTGTTTATTAAATTAATATATAAATTTTAAGTGAAATGGGATATTTATAAAGTGTAACTCAGAATAAATCAATCAATATAAATTTCTCACCTCAGTTTTATTTCTGCTAGTTTATAAAATTGAGATTATATAAATCATCTCACTGATTCTATACTATGGTTCTACATGTAGACAAAAGCAATTTTATAATTGACATTTTTAGCTAATGTCCAGAGCAAAACCTGCCAAATTATTCCTTTTTACAAAAAGAGTTAATAATTTCTAAATAAGATATTCTGTCCCAATTAAAAAAATATATTTCAGAAATGATAAGACCAGGAGTCTGGAACAAAAAATAAAATGGTCTATTAAAGGTAAATCCTTTCCAAACTTTTCTCATACTCATAAACACACACACATACACACACACACACATAACCTTTCAAAGACTTTTTTTTCTTTACCTTGAAACAGTGCTATAAAGTTAATTTTTAAAATGTAAGTTATAAATTTTATAGGCTAATTTTAAAAATTATTTTGATGAATTGTAAGTTTCTTAAAGGTGAGTTTTATACCTGCTTCCTGTTCTGTCACCATCCATTAAGGGCATGGCATAATTTTCTTTAACTCGAGTCCTCAAAGAATTATGGAACCTACCCTCTTTATCAATCTTTGATACATATTGTTTACACTTCTGGAATTTCCAGGTACAGATTCAACTGTTAGATTCTTTCCTATGAGGATTTAACTATGTTCCTTTAAGGAGATGCTTTGAATGCGTTTCTCTTTCTTTTTCACTCAAAACAGAGATCCTCCTGTGGAGGAACAGACTAAGGAGGAATCAAAGAATAAAGTAGAAGAGTCAACTGATCAACTGGTAAGAAAATAGTAAATTTTCATTAATTGTTTATTAGTTAATAACTGTTAATTAATAATGACTAATAATGAAGGTTGACTATATGAAGAGGAACGTGGCATTGGGATTGAAGGACAGCTTATTAACAACCTGTGATATGCTGATGACACAACTTTGCTTGCTGAAAGTGAGGATGACGTGAAGCACTTACTGATGAAGATCAACAACTACAGCCTTCAGTTAGGATTACACCTCAACATAAAGAAAACAAAATTCCTCACAACTGGACCAATAAGCAACATCATGATGAACAGAAAATACTGAAGTCAAGAATTTCATTTTACTTGGATCCAGTCAATGACGTAGAAGCAGCAGTCAGGAGATCCCACAATGTGTTGCATTGTGAAGAGCTGCTGCAAGGAACCTCTTTAAAGTGTTGAAACGCAAAAATGTCACTTTGAGGACTTGAGTATGCCTGAACAGAGCTATAGTATTTCAATTGCCTCTTCTGCACATGAAGGCTGGGCAATGAATCATGAAGCCTGAAGAAGAATTGATGCATTTAAATTATGGTGTTGAAGAGTATTGAATATACCATGGACTACCAGAAGAACAAATAGTCTACTTGGAAGAAGTGTAGCTGGAATTAATGCACTTTGAAGGTGAGGATGGCTGAGACTTCTCATGTGCTTTAGACATGTTGTCAGGAAGGTCTAGTCCCTAGAAAAGGGCATTATGCTTGGTGTTCTGGTTACCTAGTGCCGCTCTGACAAGAATATACCACAAATGGGATGACTTTAACAAACAGGAGTTTATTCTCTCTCACTTTGGAGGCTTTAAGTCCAAGTTCAAAGTGCCAGCTAGGGGCTATGTGAAAGCCTCTCGACCTTGGGCTTCATCTCTACCTTTTGCTCCTGGCCCACTGGAGCTAGAACCATCTCTTCACTCAGGCAGCTATTGGCTGCTGAGGCTAACAAGCCCAAGGCCGACAAAATGGCACAGTCCTGATGTTACCAACCCACACGGCAGGCCATTAATTCAAATCCATTGTAAGTCCCAAGGTTGGCAGAGTGTGGCAGGCTACTGAACAACAACTCGGCTACATACAAGGTCCAAGCATGCCATATGCTAGAGACCATTCCCAAAGCTGCTTCTTATATTCGGGAAGCAAACCACATACCCAAAGCAGCTACCCAGCTGCTTGTGGTAGATCCCACCATGGAGTTGATTGCCAGTCTCATCATGGAGAATAACTACCACCAGCTGCCCAGCCAGGAGGGCTGATAGCATAGTGCCTAAGGCACTTGACTGCTAACCAGAAGGCTGGTGGTTCAAACCCACCAGCCACTCCTCGGAAGGAAGGTTGGGCAATCTACTTCTATGGTGATACTGCCTCGGCAACCCAAGGAAGGGTCACTGTGAGTTGGGTCCAACTCAACGGCACATAATGACAACAACAGCTGCCCAGCCACTCAACCAGGCCCAGCCAAGTTGACACACAAATATAACCACCATGCTTGGTAAAACAGACTCAGCAAGGAAGAGGGATGGACCATCCTCAGTGAGATGGATTGCACAGTGGCTGCCACAGTGGGCTCAAACGTAGCAATGATTATTAGGATGGCATAGGACTGCTGGGTAGTGTTTTGTCTTGTTGTACATAGGGTCATTATGAGTCAGAATTGAATTGATGGCACCTAACAACAACAAAAAAAATATTTTTGAGAATGCAACGTGAAACCATATCCCAAACCCATTGCTGCTGAGTCATTTCCAATTTGTAGTGACCCTGCAGGTCAAAGTTGATACCCCTCAGGGTTTCCAAGGCTGTCATCTTTATGAAAACAGACTGCCACATCTTTTTCCTGTGGAGTGGCTGGTGTATTCAATCACCGATCTTTTGTTTCACAGCTGAATGCTTAACCACTGTGCCACCAGTGCTCCTCAAAGTAATGCTAAATCTAGTCAGTTTACTTAGTTAAAAATTTTGGAGTGAGACTACTTTACTACCTTAATAATCAGGAAGTTCATAATTAAGTATTTCTTTGGTGGTTATTACCAAAAAAATAACTTGGAAATGATAACTCAGGTCATAAGTCTAAATACTCAATGTAAGTTAAACTCAGTAAATCTTTGAATTGACTGGCCTAGAAAATATCTTGCAATCTATTTTAAGAAGTCTCTCATTCATGTTTTAAAAGCAAAACCCAAACAAAGCAAAAACAACATGCATACACACATACAAATAAACACACATACGCATTATTTTGTTTAATAGGAAGTTTCACTGAGTTGTTTCTGAAGTTCAGATTATTTTCTTCCCTCATTTTATTATCTTACAATTGAAACATCCAGTGGTAAATGGAAGTGAAAACTCTGAATTATACTGTAATATAAGACTTATTTTCAAGGACAGTATACTTTGTGGTAGATTAAATCTATCAATCATATGTGCTTATATTTAGTTATTTAGTAGAGGGTTGTTGAAGGGGTATTAATTTGTTTCTTGTTAATATAATTTTTATCTTCTACATAGTTTTATTAATGATTGATGCCCACTTCTTAATAAGGTTTATATAGGTAGTGCCTGATTTACAAAGGATTTGAGTTATGATAAATTCTATTTATGACTTTTGGTTTTTTTTTTCTTTTTTTTTTACATCTTATCATTAGTAAATGGAGAAAAGATTGAAGTTTTCAGGGATTTCATTTTACTTGGATCCACAGTTGACAACCATAGAAGCAGCAGTCATGAAATCAGATGTTGTATTGCATTGGGCAAGTCTGCTGCAAAAGACCTCCTTAAAGTGTTACTTTGAAGATGTCACTTTGAACACAAAGGTGCACCTAACGTAAGCCATGGTATTTTCAATTGCCTCATATACAAGTGAAAGCTGGACAATGAATAAGGAAGACCACAGAACAGCTGATGCCTTTGAATTATGGTGTTGGCAAAGAATACTGAAAATACCATGAATTTCCAGAAGAACAAACAAATCTTTCTTTGAAGAAGTGCAGCCTGAATGTTCCTTTGAAGTGAGAATGGCTAGACCTCATCTCTGCTTTTTTGGTCATGTTGTCAGAAGGGAACAATCCCTGGAGAAGGATATCATGCTTAGTATAGTAGAGGGTCAGTGAAAAAGGGGAAGGCCCTCAATGAGATGGATTGACACAGTGTTAGCAACGATTGTTTCAAGTATAGCACTGATTGTTGGGATGGCACATGACCAGGCAATGTTTTGTTGTGTTGTACACAGAGTCACTGTGAGTCAGAGCAAACTCAAATGCACCTAACCACAACAACAACCTCATTTGAGTTACGATAAACTCTATTTAAGACTTTTGGGTTTTTTTTTCTTTTTTTTTTAACATCTTATCATTAGTAAATGGAGAAAAGATTGAAGTTTTCTCATTGGTAATATGTACTATATATAATATAGGAGCTCTGGTAGCATAGTGCCTAAGCACTTGACAGCTAACCAGAAGGCTGGTGGTTCAAACCCATCAGCCACTCCTCGGAAGGAAGGTTGGGCAATCCTACTTCCATAGTGATACTGCCTCGGAAACCCAAGGAGGGGT